AATGAAAAAATAGATTTTAACCCATTTTATATTTTCCAAGGGCTATTTTTAAAATTTTCTAAAAAGGATGGGAAAAATATAAAAGCGAGTATTAATGACCAAAATAATTTTTAATCTTTACCATAATGTAATGAATATTTAAAAATCCATTACAAATCAAATTCCTTATTTTTGAGAATTTATATACATTTTTTTGAATTTTTTTTTAAAATACTGGTTGATCACTCTAACCGCCCAAAACCGGAACCGGTCTAACCGGGCGTTTAGCAGTTAGATTGGGCGATTTTGAGAACAATGAGGGCGTGTTTGATAAGTGGAAGTTTCTGGAAGTGGGAGTTAAATGTCCCACTTCCATGTTTGATATTACTATGTGGAAGTTGTAAAGTGGAAGGGCGACGTTCCATGCAGCTTTTTTTAGTGTTAAAATGAGTTCATTTTTGGAAGACCTCTCTTCCATAAAAAATGATGGAAGAGCAGTCTTCCATAATTTTTGGGAGAGTCCCTTCCACTCCCAAAAGCTCCTTGTATCAAACACACCCTGAATGTTGATTAAAATGTTTATGATCCACACAAATGATGGAGATGGAGATAATCAACTTGACAAGTCCTCCATGGAATTTAATTGAACACTAAACACCTAACTGGAGTGATGAAACTTTATCATCTTAGATTAACAGCACAATCGTATTCTGCACTCTCTCTATTCTAATTAGTTTTTACAAGACATAGGAATCTACAATTTGCTCCTTTTGTTCTCCCATGTCCACATTCTCCATTATCAGCACATGCTTAAAGTATGGCTCACGATGAAAAAATGATGCAAAAAATAGAAACACAAAACGCAGTTTGGAACATCAACGGAACTCCAAAAAATCAAACAACATAAATATTGCAATCTCTTTCCAACACTAAACGCCCCCAGCAAGAATATGTCGGGTATCTGATTTCATCATATATAAAAGTTAACAATCTCACTCATCTTACGCTGAGTAACTTGAGATGATTGCTGTTAAATTCATGTGCACCACAAGGAAGCAGCTGCCTTAATAGCCATCCAGCATGCCACAATGTTCCTGCAGAGAGGAGCGATCTGCGGGAAAGAAGACCCGCCAAAGCATCAAGCACCTGCCAATAAAAGGAAGTCCATCAAACAACAATTATGACAACACAAGCTAGAAGCTTATGCTAATCCTGAAAAACCATCACCTAAACTATTTCAAGTCTATTTTGAGCTGTAGATAATGCAAACAGGTATGACTTAAAAGTACCGCAAAACTAGCATACATCCCAAAATCAAAAAGGGGCTTTTCAGGTCAGGTGGACTCGATGACCAACCAGGGCCACCCGACCAAGGTCCAGGTCTGGTCACACTTCTGGACCTGGTGGTTTGGGTCCAGGTCCAAGAGTAGGGACCCATCATCAGGTCAATCAGGTCCATATCTAAGTTGACCTAACCAATTATAACAGGTAACATTTGCATATAATTATACACAGAAAAAGAAAGTGTATCTTCAGGTTCATTCCAGCCCTTGTACCAAGTAAGTTCAGGAACCACAAATACATTGTGATTCCAGAGATCCAGGCGCAATGTTATAACATCATATTTTACAACCAACAAAAATAGTTAAAGTTAAAATTTCTGACTTTTAATTCCATTGCCAGCTTGCCCCACCCTCTTTACAATCAAATGCCATTTACAGAATCTCATGAACAGAACCAATATCCAGTCAATGACAACAAAATATACCTGATACCTCTGCACGGAAGGGATAATTCCCTTGCCACTTCCTGAACAAGGAAATCCATACTGGGCCTGAAAAAAGCACCATGAAAGAGTTGAATATAAATGACGTGACGAGAAAAAGGAGAAACCTTGTCAAATTTTAAAAATTCTGATCATCCCATAATCATTATTGTATTAAGCAGCTTGCTATTTTTCATTTATGAATGAAAATTTTCCACCTAATCAATCAGTTATTACAACAGTCTGCAAAATCAAATCTTCCAAGACTTCGATGCAAGCAACATTGTTCTAAACAAACTATGGTTGAAAACAAAATATTCTTCAAGAAGCTCCTGTACTATGATACCCCAGTCCCCTATCTGGTAGGCATTATTATGATCAAAGTTTTTCCTTTCAGAAAAATCAGCCAAGGACTTTGCTTGTCTGGCTGGCTGACTTGCCAAATCCCAAGCTACTCATAAAGTCACTCAAACAAAAGACAGTATGAAATGTAAAGTATCTTTTTGTTTTTCCTTCTTCTTCTTCTTCTTCTTCTTCTTCTTCTTTTCAATTTTTTTTTTTTTTTGTAGTAAAGGTAAGAAGAAAGGTAATACTCAGTCTACAGTCCCCTTAAGTTCAAGAACTCAGGAGTAAGCTAAACTAAGTTGACTCATGCACTCCTGGTTCTGTAAACCATGATTATGATACCCCCCATTTTCCATTAATATGTGAGCCCCTTTGCCAACCAATTCTCTAACACTAACTCATTTTAGTTCTTTACTTCTTTTTTTTGGGGCAAATGTCTTTCATGAGTAGGCATATGCTGTGATTTGTATCATCAGTTCCTTTCTAAAGATAGAATATTACATTAGAAAAAGTTTAGATTTGAAAAAAGGTCAAAAATAAGAAAAACTATACTTGTATGCAATTGTCACAAGACATATATCTCTGACAAAGCAATCCAATTATCATCAAGTTTGACAAAAATTCATTTTATAATTTATATAGGAACTCACCTATGGAGTATTTCATCGGCAAATGCCCAATATCTAATACAAACATTTTCATTAGAAAATAAGAAAATACATAAAAGATAAGACATAGATACCTTAAGCTTTTGCTGGTAAACATCAAGTTCATTACAAATATCGTCGTTACTCAGACTACTCTGTCGTGAAAACAGCTTCTCTTCCCCTGAGGACTCTCCCACCAAAGCTTGCTGCAGGTATAAATACAAGGTTACAATCATAAAACACTATTAATAAAGAAAAATCAAATCGTCAAATAAGTGACCTATCACTAGGAGCCAAGTATAGCACAAGTATGAGATATAGTTATCTAGCACATAACCTACAGTAATTCATTTCTCTTTCTCTGCAAATTTTCCACTTGTTCGCTTGGTTCTTTAAAATACTTTCTTCAGATTTTGTAAGTTTATTTAACAAGGCATGTTCCCAATTCCAAGTTCTATCCTTCTCAAGGGGCTGAGTCGACTAATCCAGGTCCTGATTCGAACAAGACTAGGCAGCTTGTCAAATCTAGTCCGCGTCCAACTGGGATTTATCTCTAGTGAAACTAGTCCATCATCTTCCTCATTTGAACAATTTATATTATATTATTAAGGGTGGGGAGTATGCATATTATAACCCACATCTTCACCACACCAAAGAAACTAATAGAATCCTAATAGATAAGGAATTAAGATTCGAATAGAAATCAATTTTCCTGAAGTCTGGGACTTCTATAAACCTAGATAATCTCAATAACGCAATTAGAAACTGAATTTCGTAAAGTCTACTACTATTATAAATCTAGATAACCTCAAGAAATTATGACTACGTCGATAGAAATCTGACTTCCCAAATTCTAGGACTCCTTTAGGAAATCCCTCCCTCCCTCCAGATAGTCTCAAAAAGCACTTCAATAGAAATCAGATTTCCTAGAGTCTACTACTTCTACAAATCTAGATAACCTCAAAACATTATGACAACGTCAATAGAAATCGGTTTTCCTAAATTGTAGGACTCGTGCAGGAAACCCCTCCCTCCCTATTTAACTGAAAATTCTAGTCTTAAAAATAAATCATTATAGTCACCTTTGGGAGTAAATTTCTCTCTCTAGAACTCGTGAAATGGAGAAAATCTCTCTTGAACTAGTGAAATACAAATTTCTAGGGCCTTAATATTAAATCATTACCGTCACCTTTGGGAGAAAAACAAAACCTTAGAGAACAAGAAAAAGAAAATGAAAGCGTACCAGCACCATCAATTACCACAAATGGAGAAATTTCCATTAGTTAAAACAAATCAAGACCAAATACAAGGCAATAAATGATAAACACAACAATTGCATGTCCCATATAGCTAGCTAGCCACACAATGTTTGAAGCAGCATGGTTCAAGTTTTTTGTCTTTTCTTTTTCTTTTTTTTTCTAAATTGCCAACTGTGTAGCACTAGTTGTGAAGAAAGATGCATGCATTTTGCTAGTTTAGAAAGGTAAGTTTCGAGTAGTTTAGTTTCAGCTATGTGTTCCCTTGGTATATTTTGCACAACATTCTAGAGTTGCAATATATCATAGAACAGAGATGCCCAAATACGCTTCACATGTTGAGGTAAACCCCTTCAGAAACCTAAGGCACAAATTAAACCAACAAAAAACTCCTACCAGCAATAGCTTCTTATGTTGCTTTCTTTGGGGAAGAAGACCAAGTACATCCAGCACTGACTCATCCAGTTCTACAGAGAAACAATTGATAAAAATCATAAATACTAGAGACACATGCAAAAAAACAAGAAGCGAACTGATATAACCTACCCATACAGTCGTATCAATCAATAAAAAAATTTCTATGTGATACTACCTTCATTTTGCAACAAAGTACCTTTTGTTTGCAATAAAGTAGCAAGCAAACTTAAGGAACCCAAAACTTGTATTTCATTCCCATTGACAACATAAGATAACAGTATCTCCCTGCATGAGACAATCTTGTGAGGTATACAGAATAATGGGAAAAACATAAAAAGAATAAACATGCAGATGGTAGAGTCATTTCATCTCATTACAAGGCAAGAAAAGAGGAGTATGTAAGAACTGAAATGGAATTACCTGAATGACAAACCGTGTGTATTACCCTTACTATGGTGTTCTTCTATTGAATATAAGGGGGGAGAAGCAGGAGGACTTTGCGTAGAGTCCCTCAGGCCAGTTGTCCCATCACAGGGGACAAAGCTCAGTTGTTGATTTTCAGGTGAACCAATATAACCAGAAGCAAAACCATTGGGTTTCACTTCCATATAGTGCGTAAATGCCTCAGTTAAACATAATAAAGAGGCACTTATAGAACTTGCCAAATCCTTGAACTTGACAATACGCAATATACAGCAAAGTAAATATAGAGACGTAATCATATTTATCTGGCTTCCCTGAAAATGAAAACAACATACCAATGGTCAAAAAGGTCACTCAAAGAGTGGCGTAAATTCTTCAGTATGACTTTCACTTCTCAAAAAGTGCCTTTCTAATAATTTTAGAAAAAACAGAATAAACAAATCAGTATAAACGCTTACACTGACAGACCCCAACTTAACAGAGGGTAAAAGCATTGGGAAGACCAAAAGTTGTAAGATATTGTCAGTAATTAAATTTCCCAGCAAGGGAACCCCAGCAGAAATAACATCACTGAAAAAGTAGAGATTGTCTTCAATTTCATCCATGGCACCAACAATGCTAGGAGTTGTACGAGAAGGCCCTGAATTCCTATGGCAATAAATTTTATCAAGAGGTTATACAACCAGATGATGCACGTCAACCAACAAACAGAATAGTAACATTAATATGTGTGTGCATGTGATTTTAGAATCTCTATTCTTGTTTTTCCCCCAAATTTCCAAAAATCTCTCCATTTGTTTTTCACTCTCTATACTCTCATCCCAGGAACCACTTTGCTAAAATCTCTTTGATATGGTAACATATATATATATATATATGGAAGCATCTACGCAACGCCTATGAGCGAATGCTACAGTTATTTCCCCCATAGGTCAATCGCCGTCCGAAAAAATCGGACAGCATGCGTTTTTTGACCGCCACGGACCTAGCATGTAGGTGGCGGGTACCATCACGAACATACTAGGTCCGTGGCAGTCCAAAATTCACGCAGAACCACAACAGACGGCACCATCCATTGCGTTCAATAAACCATCACAGACATAGCAAGTCCGTGACAAAGGCGAAACACTGTAGCATTTCGCCTATAGGCGTTTTTAGTTTTTCCCATATTTATATATATATATATATATATATATATATAGAGTAGAGAGAGTAGA